TGGAAACAGGTATAATCTATAGATTTGATAGGGTAGGTGTGTGTGTTTATGTGTGTGTGTGTGTGTGTGTGTGTGTGTGAGAGAAAGAGCAGTGTTGCCAAATGCCTGAAGTGAATGAAAAGTAGCTAAAGCCTGCTTGAAAAGTCACTAAATGTCGCTAGATGACGTTATGAACTAACATTACGTCATCACGTCATATCGGCCCTTCATTCATTTCCATTTTATACAGCCTATTCCTATTTTAATGCAGCCAAATTCCAAAATAAATTTGTTCTCATTTACATATTTTTCTGTTTCTGTTTCAGACAACGCTATCTATTAAGACTATATGCAGTTACTTCCAATCTGCTGCTCTGAACTGCTAAAATCAGGATTTAAAAACAAGACGTTGTCTGACAAAATCACCATACACATTAAAGACAACCACTTTGCTGTGATTTCAGCTATATTTACTTGTGAAATGATAATGAGAGAATGGTGAAGACGTTACAAATGACAGAATATCTGCCATATTTTTTGCCCACAATTGCCAAAATAACGCCAAAATAGCTCCTTGTCGCAAAACATTAATAAAAGCCTCAGCAACAATGTGAAAGTCACTGAATTTGGTGACAAAATCCCCAGATTGGCAACACTGAAAGAGAGAGGTCATGGGTAATGGTCATCTTTCCCATCAGCTGCTGATCCCACAGTCTGAGTCATGAATGAACCAGCACACTTTTCTCTCTCTCTCTTTCTCTCAGTCCGTCTCTCCTACCACAACACCATAATGCTGAATCAACTTACAATCAGCAAGGCTGCAAGTCACGGCAACGAGGCTTTAGAGTCTAAATCTGATGTATGGAAACAGTGACCTCTGTAATCCCTTGCTGAATCTGAATCAGTCTAGCTTTAAATACCCAATGGTTGGAATCAACAAGTTTCGACAAGTGCTTTTGACTCCTTCCTGAGACATTTAACCAAGTACAAGTGAAAGCTTTCCTTTCTTCTTTTCGTTTCTTTCATTTCTTTGCAAATGAGCACCTCCCAATGTGGCTTAAGTAGCAAAGTCTTCAGCACATGCAGTTTTGGTTACATGGCAAATGATAGTATCTGGATACATTCTTTTCTACTGACTTTCGTAAGTGAAGCCAGGTTGTGACCAGTGGGACTTGCAGGTCACCCAGAGAAAGACTGATGGAAGAAATAAACCAAAGGCTAGACTGATAGGTTGAAAAAATAAAAAATAAAAAATTTGCGGTTGGTTTGGTTGCTGTGGAGTGCAAATGCTTTTAAAGAGAGCTGGCAGGTGTTTTGATTTTTGTCGTGTTTTGTAGCTTTTAGAGTCAGCTTTGAGAGCTTTTCCACTTGCGCGAACCAGACGATATGACGCACTCTCCAGAGATTTGTAGTTTTGCTTTTCTGTCTGTTACGCACAGGTTGTTGAGACAGTCTGGGTCTATTTTGGTAAAATTATAAATAGTGCAGCTATGTTAGTGCCCTGGTTATGAGCGCTGTAAGATAAACAAGTGTTTATTTTAGGGGTCAAACACGTACAGTGGGATTAAAAGTGATAAACAGCAATCCAGAGAACTGGTGCACTGCTAAAAGTTGTATTTATTGAAGGCAAGTGTATATAGTGTATATACATATTGTCTTTCTGCTTTAAATGCACAAAAATAATAATGCATCTATCTTAAATATCTTATTCTCTCTGATTCAGTTTAGTGAATCTCTTGTTCATTTCAGTGAGTGCCTGATTCACCAATTAATTTGAGTAATTAATTCAACTCAGTATTGTTTCTAGACGTCCTTCCTTGTGTGGTATTTTACATTATCATGTTTGTATTGTATTGTATTGTGACATTTTTCCCAGTCATCTCAATGGAAAAATAAATAAACACCTAAATAAATAAATATTTAGTTAGAGAATGAATGAATGAATGAATGTCGAAAACGACAAAATCTACAGCATCATGATTTTCAGTATAAATATTTTAGTTAGTTCATTTGTTGGCACCCTAATTGCACTGATTTTATAAGTAAATATTGTAGCGAATCAGCTCATGGGGAAATATGAATAATTAATCATCAATCTGATTTTATATATTTAAAAATATATTGTCCTCTTAAATAACAAGTTATCATCATTTAATGTAGGTAAACTACAGCCATGATTCTTGTAAAATACGTTATTAGTTGAAAACTTTGAAATGCTCTTTCTTAAAATGTATCTAAACTTCTGTCTTCAAGTCTTTGTTGATATTTTGTGTGGGTTTTCTGTTCATTGGTGACTAATTGGCAAGTCTTACCCAACACCCTCTTTCTCTCTCACACACCCTCAACGGAGACAAACATAACATTCACAAACACACACACCGACACAGCACCCTTTCTCACACCAGAAAGCTGTCAGATAGGCCGATCCCTGACAGCTTCTGGGCTGCACAGCATGAAACCTGTGAACGTGAAGGCTAAACTTGACTATTAAGAGCAAACAGGTCTTCTTGGAGAATGTTTGAGAAATTTCAGAGATGACGATTCAGCCTGTAATCACTTTGGATGATGGCAATTATGCTCTCAGACAGCATTGCTGTTCTTGAGCATGCCAGGGTGATGATTGCGAGCTGATAACTTTATTACCATGAAAGAGAGTTGTGACAGAGGCTGATTTTGTTCTTGGTCCTGTGGCTGCTAATGAAATCATGGCTGTTTTTGGCATGAACGTGGTTTTTCATTCCACACTTAGAGCTTTGCTGTTTGGGTTCTTTATTTCAGAGCTGACAAAGTCTGCATAAAATATATTTAAAATAAACAAATATGTTTGTTGACATTTATGAAGTGATTTTAGGATTCGTTGGATGATTTCCTCATTAGAGGAGAGGGTGCAGGATGAAAGACAGAACTATGTGAGTGTAGACAAATCTACATGTGTGTTCTGTTCTATTCTATTATGGCATATTTAATGTTAATAATTTTATTTATTTATTTGTTTATTTATTTATATTAATATTTAACAGTCAAAATTAAACATTTTATCCACAGAAATCGCAAAACTTTCCATTTATTAGCAGTACCTCTATTGGTGTTGATACTGGGGATCTTGGCATTTTAACTGATTGAATTTAAATGTAATATATTTTTAATAGTTATAATTTAAATTGATCTTATATTATTTATTACAGCCTATTTAATGTTGTTAATTTTATTTTTAATATTAAATAGTGATAATTAAACATTCTATCCTCAGAAAATGACAACGATTATATTTATTAGCAGTATCTGTATTGGTATTTGTGATATTGGATTGAATTTAATTATTATAGTATATTCTTAATAAGAATAAATTATAGTATATTCTTAATAAGAATAAATATATTATATTATATTATATTATATTATATTATACAACCTATTAATTGTTAATCGTTTAATTCGTTTTTTTTGTATTAAATGAAACATTTTATTTTCAGAAACTGACAAGCCTTATTCTTGTTACCAGTGTCTTTAATTATATTTCTATTTGTGATCTTGCTATCAGATTAAATTTAATTGAAAAAAAGAGTATTTTAAAATTGTACAAATTTTTGTTATGTTATGTTATTGCAAAGAAAAGCTAAAATCCTTATGATAATTTGAAGTTTAGGCCTATTTAATATTAATAATGGTATTTTAAATATTCATTGGTGATAATTGAACATTTTAGTCTTGGCTCTATGCATTCCTTTCCCCTTTTTTGGGGTAATTCAATCTGCTTTCAGTTTTTGATAACAGTGTAGTACTCTTAGTTTTGTGTAACTCTTTTTACCATTTACAATCTGCAGAATTTCCCATTTAATCAGAGCAGAAAATGTGAAAGTAGTCTTCAGATTTCTTCTGGGAGTACTTATGAGTGTATGGAAAGTCTTACGCCTTAAGCACCATAGAGTCTCATTCTCTATTGTTTTAGAGGCGACAAGCCTTCAGCGTCATCCACACCTTACAACACGCAAGGCCTTCTCCTCCACCAGAACAATCACCTTTATTCTCACCAAGGATAGGCCGCTCATTGTTCATTGTTCTGTGTAACAACAAACGCATTAGGTCGCAGAATCTGATGCTTAAGGAGTCCTGAGACTGTCTGAGAGCCAGGGATGTTGGTCATTAGGATGTCACTGCAGAATGGGTGGAAACTTTGACAGGAGAGTTCAGTCGCTTTGGTGTGTGGATAACGAGGGCGTTTAATAGCAAGTCATGTTTTTCAATGCCAGAAACCCCTTCTTTGCTTCAAAATACCCTAGATAGCCTCCTGTGGTCATGTGATTAAATATGATTAAAGTCAAAACAATCACATGTGAAGATATATAAGACATGAGTTTAGAAAAAGCTACTCAAGTTACTTAGCAACTTGAGTTAAAAACGGAGGCTTCAAAATTCATTTTTGAGGTTTGACTGGGTTTCGTTTATGTTGTAAAGCAAAATGTGAAAGTTTCTTCAAGTTAATGTAACCACAGAGCTTGTTTGCTCATAAATCGTGAACCGCTTTTCTAAAAAGCCATAGTAAATTCATGAGGGAACCCGTGGCGAATTAGCCTTCGGGTTGGCCTACAAATTGCCATCATGACTGAACAGCTCTATAGAGATGGAAAAGAAAGACAAAGATTAACGATAAAGAGAGAGATGAATGTAAATACATGGAAGACAAGGACAGGGCGATTGCAGGCTTAACAAAAAGAAATGGTACAGTACTACAAAACTTTTCATTGAGACAGGATCAGGTAAGGGAGTGCTGAAGTCAGCAGCACAGAGGAATTCTGGGTAATTGGAGGAGGGAAGGTTTTTAATGTGGTTTTAGTCTTGTCACACATACACACCAAGAAGGGCTCCATTTCTAAGATTTATATCGGATTGGCTGTCTATTTCACTTCCTGATAAGAAACTGTTGCCTCAACAATGAGACACCATGTCAGACATGTGATTGTACTGTTGCTCTCTCTTTATCTCTCTCTCTCCTGATCTCTCGCTCTTTCTCTCTTTTCCAGCTCTCACAGAAGCTGATGTATCCAAAAATGCAGTGACGGTCTCCTTCCACGACTCGCCCATCACCCAGAACAAATCTTCATCGGATGCTTCTCTTTCCATGACCAGCTTCATCATCATCATCCTCGCTCTGGCACTGCACTGGCCCTTCATCTGAAAAACCACAAGCGCATGCACACACAATGATCATATGCACACACAGGTGAACATCATGAAGAAGTGTCAGGGTCATATTTCCCTCAAAAAAAAAAAAAAAAAATATATATATATATATATAAATTTGGCATTGTGAAATTATTTAATTCACAATTAAATCATTAATTTATAGTTATATTATATATATATATATATAAATTTGGCATTGTGAAATTATTTAATTCACAATTAAATCATTAATTTATAGTTATATTTTTATCAGCCATTACTCAAGTCTTCAGTGTCACATGATTCTTCAGAAATTATTCTAATATGCTGAATTATCAATGTTGGAAAAAAAAAAAGAAATATAAATATTTTGTAACAATTTACACTACCATTCAAAAGTTTGGGGTCTTTTTTTTATTGAAAGAAATTAATAGTTTCATTCAGCAAAGATATGTTAAATTGATAAAAAGGAATAGTAAAGACTTGCATTGTTACAAAAGATTTCTATTTTGAATAAATGCTGTTATATTAACTTTTTATTCATCAAAGCATCCAAAGTATCACAGGTTCCAAAAAAAAAATATTAAGCAGCACAAATGTTTCCAACATTGATAATAAATCAGCATATCAGAATGATTTCTGAAGATTCATATGACACTGAAGGCTGGAGTAAGAGAAAGTTTTGCCATCACAGGAATAAATTATATTTTAATGTATAATAATGTTGTTATTTTAAATTGTAATAATATTTTGCAATTTTACTGTATTTTTGCTGTATTAAATGCAGCCTTGATTAGCATAAGCGACTTCTTTAAAATACATTAAAATCATTTTTATTTTTGCTATTATTTTTTGCATTGCAGTAGGCTACTAAGAATTGGTGGAGGGCATTGTTTCAATTTGGTTAATTTATGGTTAATATATATTATAGTATATACTAAGCATCATGGTCTTAATGTTAAATATAATTTCTTGTTTCTTACTTTTGATTTCGGGGTGAAATATGACCCGGTCATTTCCTGACTGTTAATAACTGCATCCCAAAATATTCACATTGCAGGGTTGTTTCATTATGTTCCCAGCCCCATTTTTGTGGAAGCCTCCGGCCGGGAGACTAGCAGTTCTGTCTGGGGTTTAAGAGTGAACACTCTCCACAGACTTCTAGTATCAGGACAAAACTCTTATCATCACTGACTTGGCCTGTGGAATGCATGACAAAGTATATGCATGTGTGGAAACATTGCTCATAACCACACAACAAAAAAAGAACACAGAATCTGTCTGCATAGTCAGCAAGGGATTTTACCACCACACACAGAGCATTATTGAATGAGTCTATGAATGATATGCACATTGTAGTATGTGTATAGTTTGAACTGACGCTGAATTTATAGGACGAATGTTTTAAGTATCATACAAACTTTTTTATAATATGTTTCATCAGCTCTAACTGAAACCCATACAAACACATAGTTATAAAGACATAAATCTTTCAAAGTAGTGGCAATGTTCTTGGGCTTTGCTGTTACCTGTTTGCAAAACTTTCATGGCTTTAAAGGGCTCAAAACATCCCTTTAATACTTAATATTTTTTTTTCAATTCCCGCAATTACCTTCCAAGTGCACTGCTTTTCTAAGAAAACGCGCTTTTAACTTAAAGATGAAAGTTTATTAAACATGTTTGAGATATACTTTGTCATTTGGAGTATACCCTGTCAATTTCATGATGTTCTATATTTACAGAATTACATATCTGAAATTGCACTAAACTTACTTTATTAAAAAAAAAAAAAAATCCCTCAAAAGTGTGGCACAGGTTTGCGTGAATGTTGTGATGTTTAATGAAAAAAAAAAAAAATCACAGATATGCAGAATGCTTTTCTTTTATAAATAATGACCTTAAAGCAAAGCAATGCAAGATGTTTAGAGATACCAAATATTTTATATAATAGCTTCTTTAGCAATCTGTTCATAGCAACATAAAACGTTTTTATTTCCTATTATATGTTAACATTTAAGAGTCAGTATTAAAACATTGCTATAGTTCTTACACAGAAGCAGAGGTCTAATGAGTCTGTGAACATTTTCTATGTTTATGCATTTTTTGTTTGTTTTTGTTGTTGTTGCTGTGTCTGACTGCACATGGATTGCTACATTTGATTTCCTTCATATATCTCTGATGTTGGTTCTATAATGTTTTCATATGAACGTTCATGAATCTTCATACATTCTTAAACATTTGCAAGCCAACCCTTTAGCCTCAGATAACACCTATATACACCTAGGGTGCGAATTATGGGGGGTTTAAACCTTCTTAGGCTTGATGGCCCCACAAATTAGAGACAGAACAAAAGGTTTGGGGTTTTAACTTGTGGTTGCCTTTACCTGAGCAGTTTCCATTAGGTCCAACTTTGGGTTGTACTTTGACAACCTCATGTCATTATCACTTTATTATAGCACATATCAAATGCATAACAATAAAGTTTATAAACTTTGGGCTAACATACTCAGCAAAAAAAAAAAAAAAAAAAATGCATGATGAACTCAAAGAATATTTCATCCAAAAATCCTGACATTATTTAATCACCTTTACCCTCAGGATATTGTTTAAAAGTTCACCTTTTGTTTTCTGCAGAAGAAAGTAAGTCATACCAGATGATATAATTTAGATTTTTGGGTGAATTGTTTCTTTAATATTGCACTCAAAGGAATTGTTATAGATACATTTTAATTAAAAAAAAAAATGACGAAGGTCAACGTGTAATTTGCACCCTGAAGGGAGTTATGCAAATACAAAACCAATGTTTTTACGCGAGTGTGGTACATTTCTGTGTATGACTGTAAAATGGGTTGTGATTACATTTAATTTGCTGTGTTTTATTTGTTTGTTCATGGTTTAGTTGGTACAGATAAACACGTACGGCTCAGCGAAAAATCTGATATACACAGCGCTTATAAAAGGTTGGTTAAAACGCTAATAAAGTGATTCTCTGCTCGATTCTCTGCTCTTTCTCTTTCTGAGAAAAATCTAAATAAGGGTTTTCAAAAATGAATTGAATTAAAAACATTTTTTATAATTTATTTCTTAATAATTTAAATGGTAAAAATGATAACATCTGATTTTCTAGAAAAATATATTTTTAGACCTAATAAGGCCCTGAGAGAGGTACTCTCAGGGCCTTATTAGGTCTAAAAAGATATTTTTCTAGAAACTCTCAGGGCCTTATTAGGTCTAAAAAGATATTTTTCTAGAAAATCAGTCTTCTTTTAATCTCAGTCCCTATCCTTCATGAAGATTAATTATGTTGACCTGCTCCCCTTCATGCAGTTCCAAACCCATATGACAGCAACATCATCGAGTAAGCAAGCTGAACTTCAATTTGTGAACAGTTCATTGAGTATGATTCATAAACCAAATCAATTGGCAAGAACCAACTCGAAAAAATGATTTGTTCACTGATCCTGTCCTGACTCACTGACTCTGTGATCTGGTATGTGCTGGTTGGAGATAACATCTCAGATTATCAGTGAAGAACTTAATTTTTTTGGTCTGCTCCTCACGCTGAATTATCTTATGGCTTCAGAAAATGTGGAATATTGCTCACAAGTTATATGGACGACTTTAATGGTGCTTTTTTGATGTTTTTACTTTGTCTACAGGTTCGGAACAACATGATGGTGAGTAAATAATGACAAATTTTCAAATTTGGGTGATTTTTATTTATTTTTTTCAAAGCCACAGTCACAAAAGTCATAAGGTTAATTTCCCTAAACCACCTGCTCCTCTTTATTCACCACACAGATACTTAAAGGGGTCATATGATGCGATTTCAATTTTTAATTTTTCTTTGGAGTGTTACAAGCTCTTGGTACATAAAGAAGATCTGTAAAGTTGCAAAGACTAAAGTCTCAGATCCAAAGAGAGATTCTCCACATCTCCATTTGGGAGATATAGCCACCCAAATGTTCACGCAAAGAAAGAAGGCATAACTTTGATTCTCGCTGTAGTATTGTTGCCGCCACCGCCATGTTGTGGAGACGCTGTGTGTTTTGTTGTGAAAGCGAAACTACTTTGTTTGGTCTTCCAAAAGAGGACACAACAAGAAATCAGTGGTTAAGTTGTATTTACAACACTGTTCCGGAACAGTTCAACCCAAATATTCAGATGTGTGCAGCGCATTTTATGGAGGACAAGGACTGTTTCCTGAGAGAGTAGCCTACAATGCTGGTGTCTGTTTCTATAAAGTGGGGCAATTCTAACTTTGCAAAGACAGTCTGGTGCTTCTGACTCACAGCCTGTAAGTAAGTTTTCATATGCAGCGCAATATGCAACGCAACGCATAAAAAGACAGTATAAGTTATAGGGGTGTAACGGTACACAAATGTGACGGTTCGGTACGTACCTCGGTTTTAACGTCACGGTTTGGTATGGTTTCGGTACAGCAGGGGGAAAAACTTTTTTTTTTTAAATGGTTTACTGAACAAGTTGCTCTTTCTTTAAATACATTCAGTTATAGTTTAAATGTTCTTAGTGATAAAAATCTACGTCAGCTTATGCTTAAAACTATAGGGAGCCCTTTTACATTATAAGGTTACAATTAGGCCTAACAACTTAACCCAAACTTAAATTTAATTACTATTTATTTTTAAATAGATGATCAACAATCAACTTTAAAAAATAAAAAAATTAATAATTGTATGCAAACATGTAAACTGCACATAATGCAGTTTTTAAATTAATTTATAAATAATAAAATTTCTAAGCTATTTGTTAAAATATATTCAATTACACAGTGGCTGTCATAGCATGTTTCATAACAGATTAATTTAAACATACTGTACATTAAATAATTAAGACTAACAGATTTAGTAGAATATAATGAGTATATGGTGTAATATTTCGCAAAATGCTCCTCTCTAGACTT